ATACAGTAGAACCTCCATTATCCGGACCTCCATTATCCGGATTTTCGATTATCCGGATTGTTCAAAATAAACAAAAATTTTACGAATTTGCTGATTTGCACTTGGCGAATTACGACACTGTTTATGTACGTGATGGAATGCATAACATTTTTTGTTTTAACAACGTCTCACCCGGCACAGTAGCCGTAAACTCTTAAATATATTTTACGTAGTAATAAAAATATAACTTGACATACGTATTTATAAATAATTTATATTCAAATTACATCATTTCTATGACCAAGGGCGGCGTAAGGCATGGACGACGTGGGCCACCGTCTATGCCTTGCGGTCCGAAGGGCCTCGCGCCTCGAAGGTTTATGCATTACTTAAAAGCCGCTCACGCAACGAAAAAATTTTACTTGTCATAAAACGATAAATAGTTTGTCAAATTTTTATTCATAAAAATGCAGTTTCAACTGCTTTTTATTTTATAAAATCCGTCTTCTTGCGCCACCAGAGGGCCTTTTAAACAATAGGTAGTCTGTTAGCGTTGGTCAGTAGTAGTCCTAATGCAATACGAACGTTTGTTTCTTGAAAATTTGATCACGATTTAAATACAGTATTTACTTTTAATATTACCGTTATGCCATCGAAAAGAAAACGTGTTGTATTATCATTAAGACAAATTAAAATATTTGTTTTGATTATCCGGATTTTTCCTTATCCGGACTACCTTCATCCCCAATTAGTCCGGATAATCGAGGTTCTACTGTATATACAAAATATGGCATACAGTCACAGTAATTCAGCAGCATATCTGCCTGTCAAAGTTTATCAATCTTCTGTATACACCACTATTTTGGTCCTTTAGTGGAGTCTTTTCACTCCTGACAAGATTGAACACAGTAGGAGGTCAAAATGTCATAATTTTCTTTTTATCTTGTTCTTTAAAGGGTGGTCACAATGCTTCTGACTAGCATCTGTTCCTGTCATTTTTACAAATGTAGCATTGTTGATTTCTGAAGACTTTTTAACTGATTTTTTTTATATGTTGCTATTAAACAGTCTTTAATCATTACTATACATTGGTTTAATAATTTACAAACTGACATATCAGTTTGTAGGTTACAATTTTTATATAACAGTATACTAATATTTACAACACAAAAAACAATTCTTAAATTCAGACAGCCAACACTTCTCCCTAATGCATAATAAGTAGTTAAAAATAAACAAACCCTTTACATTTACTTCTAAGACCTGCAAAAAGCAGGTTTTAGGATTGAAAGCATTTGTTTTATCTTAATTTTCTCACGTTTGTGTTAATTTTTCATCCTGCTAGGAAATAACATAAGATTAGTATGTTTCTTTTTTAATTACCTTCCCCATTTTTGGAAGATTGGAACTTTTAAAATATAGTTTCTGCAGTAAAAGGATTTATCTGATAGTAATTGAATGATAAAATGTTTGCTTCTGATTGGATGAAGAATATCTTTTTTTAATAACAATAGTTTTAATAATAATTATACTTACTTGAGTTATCTCTCCCAAAAATGATTCTACAGCACTAAATGCTCCACCAATACTATCTTGTTCTTGTCCAAGTACAAAATATCCACTCCAAAATGGCCTACCAATGGCCATTCCTGATCCTTTTAATTTAATCATATCATCCCAATAAAGAAACCAATCACCTGTTTGACTATCCCATGTAATAGCACAATGATGCCAATCTTTATCCCTATAAAATAGCAATTGTATTAGAAACAAACTAAAGAAAAATATAGTAATGATCTGAATGTTTTATTATTTCATAAAAAACAACAAAATAAATCATTCATTCTTTGAAAAATAATTTTAACATTACATGGAAATATTTTAATTAATCAAAAATCAAAAGTAGGAAATGCATGATTTTTGTTTAGTTTCCTTTTTGCTTATTCAATTAATATTTTATACCAGAGGAAAATAAATGCTTGTATATTCTTTCAAATCAACATAATTTAACAAAAAATTCAATAGTCATATTTATTTTACAAATTATNTGATGTAAAATACTTGTGGAATTCCAAAAGTGCTTTTTTTATGTGTATTTTATTGTTATTCGATTCAAAAATGCAAAATAAACATATTAAAGTTAAGAAACTTGCTGTAAATTTTCTCAGATCATACCAATTAACATCAGCCTGGTGTGAAATTTGAGAGGAAGGTGTTATTTTTAAGGTCATGGTAGATGGTCAGTGTAACCCACACTGACTAACTACAACTACTAATGTTAATAAGTCATTAATTGTTTTATTGTCTTGTAAACGAAAACTTTCTTCCTGATTTTAAGTCAGTCAAATTACAATGTTATTATTTTATTATACTTGGAAGAATGTTTTCTTTAACATTTAATTAGCAACTAGTTTTGTTAGATTTGATTAATTTTGTATTTTAGTTGAAGTTTAATTAACATGCCAATAACCACAGGGTTTCCAGCATACTGGTCTCTCCCATTTTATGCAATATGCTGGTTATTCTGTGAAAATATGGTATTAGCATCAGTATTTTTTGAAAAAGAACTTATTTAAATTAAACAAAGACACATACCTACAACCAGAACAACTCAAAATAGTACTTTAACTAATGTTTTTATCTGTTTGTAACAGATATCTATCTTCAGGTACAATTCATATATGCAGAACTAAATGAACAAATTAAAATCAAATATGATTTTTTAAACAAATTACAAATTGAGTTTAAAATCATTTTTTGACTTTTAATTTGTGCTGGTTGTAAGTATGTGTCTTTGTTCACATGAGATATTCCAGTTTTGGAGTTTAATTGATTGAAGAATTATTATCTAAGTTCATCATGTTCCTCTTGATTCATTGATAGAAGCATATATTACATTTGTTTAACATATTGATTACAACAGTAAAATCATATAGTAGAAATCTATAGAACTAATATTTAGAGACTTGACTTAGAGTAAGAAAATCAATACAATTAGAAATAGAATTTGTGTACACGTATCTGCATTTTTATATGGCATAATAAATGAGAGAATATATTTATTTTCCATTGTCACTACAAACCAAAACTTCAGAAAATTAATTGTTTAGCAGAAATTCAAGTATACGTGAAATATTGATAAATTCAAAGATGTGAATAACTTTAATAATAAAATAATAAATTTTGTTGAGTAATACCAATGCCTTTTAACTTTTTTCTAATAGTGGCACCCCACTTGATAATTTTTTCTTGCAGAACTTCTATTCCTTTACCAACATAGAATTATTATACTTTTAGTAATTCATGTAAAAAATGTTTTTGCACTGCTCAGCCTTCTAGTGTAGTTTTTAGCACCCCAATTGACAACCACTAATGCTGAAAGTCCATAAAATCAAATGTTACCAAGCATATTTTAACATAAAAGACATTAAGACATTTTTTTTACAATATTTTACTCAAATCCAAATATCTAATATAAAACTAGCTTTCATGAGAAAACAAAATTAACTACACTTCAGCATAGACAATAAAGGAACTAATGTTAATCTGCTGAAACACCCAAACAGAGCGTACAGGTGAAAATATACTGTATTTTGTTTTGACTTTTGACTAAGCTCTCCTCTATTTGGTAATTGGAAACTCACCAGTATAATAAGTTCTATTAATAAACAAGGTCCAAGCAGACAGAATATACACAAAAATTTATAAGAATAAGGACATAAAAAAATTAACCACACTTCACATCAAAACTATTTTGGCATAATGTACTTACTGTCTTATGAAATTAAAAACAACTTTTTATTCAAAATTGCAAGTGCTTTTGAATAAAAAGTTGTTTTTAAAACTGCAAAATAGTGAATACAATATATCAAAACTAGCTTTAATACAATGCAGAATGTAAAGTTATCAAAGTACAATAAAGAACAAGTTGATGAAATTTGAAAAAGAAAGCATCCAGCTTTAGTTGTTTGCTCTTTGATATAGAGATGATGAGAAAGCCTCAGCTGCAGTCTTTTAAAATGTGCTTTATTGGAGTAACTGGTATTTGTAAATAATTAATTTCACATCTTCCTTATGTCTTCCAGCAATACTTTATTAAAAACAAATGTTTTTGGCCTAATTTACATGCCTGCTTCAGGTTTTACACATTCAAACTAAACCATTTACTGAGTGTTTCAAAATTGGAATGTTCCTTTAAAAAGAATTTAAAGGTCAGAAATATTTACAATTTATTATTTATGGCATTCAGTTGTGTTATTTTTACCTTAAATTATATGTACTGTATTTACTGTTTAAGTTTATTGAAATGGGTATTCTTTAGGGTCTGGGAATGAATAAATTCACTTTCTAATTTCTAATAGGGAAAAATGATTTAGATTTCAAACAACTAGAGTTCAAAAGACTCCTGGAATGAATTAAATTCCAAGCATTAAGCCCTACTGTACTCTATCCTTTAGATATCCACATAAAAAGAAATCTGATGAAATTAAGCCTGATATTGATGTGACCACAAGTCTTTAGAAATGATGCAATTATAATAGAAAAAATCCTGATCCAAATTTCACAAAGCTTCAAACAAGTTCATACTTGATGGAATAGTCAGTGTGATGAGAGATTGCACTTGGTTAATAGTAACTATGTCTATTTTATAGGAGATAGGGTGATAGGATAGGATAGTTCTGTGGTAATTTTGCTACACATACAAGTACTTATGTTATATGAGAAAAACATAATTTACACTTCATGCCAGGAATGTTACAGAAGAGAAACCACACTAAAAGAGCATTAAAAACACATATTTTAATAAAAATTGCAAGTACTTTCAATGACTTACAGTCATCACCATCAGGCAATAAAATCAAATGCAATTTTTAAACTTAAGAAAAGAACAGAACATAAAATGGTCTTTTTTTTAAATTTGTAAAGGTATGTGACTGATTATGAAATATGAAAGTTAAAACAAACTAATATAAATAAAGTATACATGAAATTATTGACAAAAATAGAAAATTTCCAAGTGTAAAATTTTTGTGAGAGCATCTACAGGCTGAATTATTTAAATAACGATATCTGCAATTAAACTATATTGATGACAGAGGAATTACACAGTGATAAGGACAAGATATAAAGATTTTCCCATAAGAACAAAATTCTTTTGACATAGTACCACCTCACTAACCTAGTATGAGCGCAAAGCAGTACATAGACATGCTTTAGTACTCTATTCGAGAGCTCAGTTGTAAGTCTATTTGCAATGCCAACTTGATGCGCAAACACAAACTTGCAACATTTTACAGTGGTTCCAATGTACATTGTTGTAGTTCCTAATAACAAATTCTGCAACAGAATTGTGTAAACCCTCAATTTTTCATGTAAGGTAATAGTGTTCCTATCATTACACAACCACCTATGTAAAGTTTGGCTGGGGAACAATTGGTAAAATAAAGCCATGAGTTCTAAAGAAACAGGCTAGGCATAAAGATAAAGAACCCACCAAAGGAACTGGGAGATGAACAATGCAGCAATTGTATTTATTCAGAGGAATGTCTGTGGATATATTGACTTTCTGATGCTGCTGAAGAAATACCTATATAGAGCTGGGGAATATCCTGCCCTGTGCACTGTGAGAGAAATAATCTGCAATAATTTGTTCTTAGTTCTGTCCACTCATGCTTAGGTGGACAGTACTAAGAATGCTCTATGTATAAGCTGAAATGGCAGAATTTACAAATAATGGGGGATAGAAGGCAGCAGCAGAGACGTGTGGCAACATACCAGCCTTGTGATGGACAGAAAACATATGCCCAGCAGGTAATCTGTACATGAATAAGTCTAACAAGGGTATCTTTTCACATTGTTCTTGCTCTACAGAAAATTTTATTGTAGAATAGACAGAAGATAAAACATCAACAGCACACCATGATATATAATAACTAACCTGTAAAAACCAATACTGGTGCGTTTTCTCCAAAAAAATACAATATCACAAATGTTTTCGAACATAAAGTTCTTCCTCAGGTGAGAAACGGACGAAAAATTGAATAAAATTCAATGGAACACTTTTTGAAAGAGCTCCGCAAAACGATTTGAAAAAATCCTCGTGCGGTTGATGACATCGTTGCGCGTGCGTCTTCCTCAGAAGTAAAAAATCTCTCTATTAACATCCATCGTATATAAATGCTTGCCACGCTACGGATAAAGATAACTGCTCCTTACTGTTAATACACTTATTATTTTGGGCAGTTTTGTATATATAAATCATTTCCATCCACCTCAAATGTTCCGTATGTTGCGTGGAGCAGATGATCTTAGCCTCAACATGCCTATAGAGACATACAATTCTTCTTCAGTACTATCTCATGTGAGCAAGACATCATTTACATAATGGAGATTTAAGAGTGAGTAGCAAATAGCCAGTGGGGAAATAAAAACTCTAAACTCAACATTCCTCATGATGAGTTCCACAAGAGTGGCAGAGGGGGGAGAGCCCATGGGTACACCATGTTTATGTTTGTAAATGGTACTATTAAATTGAAAGTAATTATTCTCTGTTATAAGAAAAAGCACTTTCCTCAAGTCAAATATCTGTGGAATGGAGTAAAGAGCTCTAAGAAGTAAATGATTTCATTTTTGTCCAATTTTGTTGATAATTTTGTATATACCTTATTTTTATTAGTTTGTTTTAACTTTACAAATATATGGTAAATCAGGCACTTGCTGTATGATTTTATCAGTTATAATAAG